TTATGGGGGGGGGGGGGGGGGGGGGGGGCTGGCGTTCTTTAGGTCTTTGCAGGGTTGAGGGCTTGGGATTTGGGGGGGTGGGCTTTTTCGATTCTTGTTAGAATTATTGAAATCATTATTTGTTCTTATATTAGTATTATTAAAATCATTATATGTTAATTTTATATGTACTATATTTATTATTATTGTTATTATCATCATCTTTTATGGGGCGTGTTTTGGGTTTATTGGGGCTCATTGGTTGGGATGTTCAGCCTTCTACTAACAGTCCTTAGTAGGGTTTAAGGTTTAGGGTTTAGGGTTTAGGTTTTAGGGTTAGGGATTATAGTACCCCTCCCGGAACATCCCAACTTGGCTCCTAAACCCTAAACCCTAAACCCTACACCCTAAACCCTAAACCCTAAACCCGAAACCCGAAACCCGAAACCCTAAACCCTAAACCCTAAACCCTAAACCCTAAACCCTAAACCCTTTACCCTAAACCCTTTTGGGGTTTGGCAGTCTCAGTGGGCCTCGGGAGAAGACTCCGCAGGCTCTTCCTCGCCTCCACATTCCTCCAGTTGCGAGAAAGTCCGGGTCAGAGACGCCTTAGCAACTGAAACGGATTAGGGCTTAGGGCTTAGGGTTTAGGGTTTAGGGTTTAGGGTTTAGGCTTTGGAGTTTAGGGTTTGAAATTGCTGTTATCGGTGAGTGTGTATAAGGTTCCTTTTTCACATTGGTGAGTGTACATATTTGGTGTCCTTTTGGGTATACAAGGAACATAAACCGTACTTCATGATCTAGCCTCTTGGGATGTTGCCCCTTGTGCTAAGAGTCCTTACTTAATAGGGATTACAGTACCCCCAATTATCATCCCTTTTAAGGACTGCTAGTATCAGAGTATCAGGGGAACATCCCAACTAGAACCTCTGAATCCTAAGCCCCCAAGCCATCAACCCTAAACCCTAAACCCTAAACCCTAAACCCTAAACCCTAAACCCTAAACCCTAAACCCTAAACCCTAAACCCTAAACCCAAAAAATTCTGAATACCTGGCCCTGGCCTCTCATCTAGCTCGTGGCCCTTGGCAAGAGGCCAAAGGGGACCATGGGCCAAGCTCATGGGTGGGGGCGTTCGCATCGCCTGTGCTGGAACTCCGCGGGTGTGTAGAGTCTCTGGCCTTAAGAGTGCGAAATCTGAGAGCTGTACACCCTAAACCCTAAACCCTAAACCCTAAACCCTAAACCCTAAACCCTAAACCCTAAACCCTAAACCCTAAACCCTAAACCCTAAACCCTAAACCCTAAACCCTAAACCCTAAACCCTAAACCCTAAACCCTAAACCCTAAACCTAACCCTAAACCCTAAACCCTAAACCCTAAACCCTAAACCCTAAACCCTAAACCCTAAACCCTAAACCCTAAACCCTAAACCCTAAACCCTAAACCCTAAACCCTAAACCCTAAACCCTAAACCCTAAACCCTGTCCCCGAAACCTCAAGGGGTTTTTAGGGTCTAGGTTTAGGGGGCTTCTTCTAAGGGCCCTGGTGCCAAGTTCAGCAGCACACCTTAAACCCTAAACCCGAAACCCTCAACCCTAAACGCCCTGAAGCCACGAAGCTTCCGGACCTGGTGCGCGGAAGTTCCCGGCAGGTGTTTGTGCACCTCTAACCTTGAAGCCTGACAAAATTCACATAGGGTTTAGGGCTAGGGCTAGGGCTAGGCCTAGGGGTCTCGGGTTTAGGGTTTATGGTTTAGGGTTTAGGGTTTAGGGTTAATTAGTTAGGGTTTAGGGTTTGGGGTTTGGGGATTTAAGGGTTACTAGGGTTACAGGGCTCAGGTCTTCGAAGGGATTCTCACAATTCCGAAGTGGCATTCCTCCAAGGAAAGACCCTAAACCCTAAACCCTAAACCCTAAACCCTAAACCGTAAACCGTAAACCCTAAACCCTAAACCCTAAACCCTAAACCCTAAACCCTAAACCCTAAACCCTAAACCCTAAACCCTAAACCCTAAATCCTAAACCCTAAACCCTAAACCCTACACCCTAAACCCTAAACCACAAACCCTAAACCCTAAACCCTAATGTTATTTATAGGTTAAGGGAGGGGTTCATGGGGGGATAGCTGCCTAGGGAACCTCAAGGAAGATTAGGGAGCTTTGGGAGTTTTGGGGCACCTTGGGTTACGTGCCCCCCTTGAGCCCCCCCCCCCCCTCCCTTAACCTAGAAATAACATTAGGGTTTAGGGTTTTAGGGTTTAGGGTTTAGGGTTAAATCCTAGAATATTCGTGGGGTCATTGTTGCGGACTTCGGGGTGGTGTAGTCGTGTTGAGTTGCAAAGCTCAACGGAGCTGGCAGAGCTGTCGAGGCTGGGGGCGCTGCGCCGAAACCCGAAACCTACAAACCCTAAACCCTAAACCCTAAGCCCTAAGCCCTAAACCCTAAACCCTAAACCCTAAACCGTAACCCTTAACCCCAGACCCTCAACCCTAAAGCCTTTAACCCCCAAATCCCTAAGTTACTTCTGACAGCCATTTTCGGGGAGGGGGGCGGGAACTGAAACCCTACGTATGTACTTAGGGTCCAGAGAAACCCTAAACCCTAAACCCTAAACCCTAAACCCTAAACCCTAAACCCTAAACCCTAAACCCTAAACCCTAAACCCTAACCCCTAAACCCTAAACCCTAAACCCTAAACCCTAAACCCTAAACCCTAAACCCTAAACCCTAAACCCCAGGGCTACACTACTAGGGTCCAGGGTAATTGGGCCGCTCTTTGCTCTCCTTTTATTCGCAAGCATGAGGGCGGGCGCATGCGCACAAAATATTAAGGCAAAGGGACCCTCATCGATGTAAACCTCAATCCCGCAAGCCCACTAAAGGCACAACCAAACACGAACTAAAAACTAACATAAAAACGAAAATCACAACAACACAACAAGACCCTAAACAGAGAGAAGGAAAAAGGGTGGAAAAACAAAAAAAAACGCGAGCCACAGTTCCCTAAACCCTATACCCCAAACCCTAAACCCGATACCCTAAACCCTAAACCCTAAACCACAGTTCCTGAAAGCCTCGACGGCCTGCGGCTGCCTTCGCAGTTGCGACTCTCTTGCTTTGAGTATGGCAGAGGAAACCCGTCAGAGGGATTTTGCACCCCACGCCCCTCGCACGTTTCGGGTTTAGGGTTTAGGGTTTAGGATTTAGGGTTTAGGGTGGGTTTAGGGCTTAGGGTTTAGGGCTTAGGGCTTCGGGTTTAGGGCTTAGGGTTTAGGGTTTAGGGCTTAGGGCTTAGGGTGCTGCCCTGCAAGTCGTTGACAAAACAAACCCGGGGGCGATTCACTCACGGGCTGTTCTGACTCAGAAGGTGCATGCAAACTACTAAAGGGGTCGGAATAATTTACTAGTAAGCCCTAAACCCTAAACCCTAAACCCTAAACCCTAAACCCTAAACCCTAGACCCTAGACCCTAGACCCTAGACCCTAGACCCTAAACCCTAAACCCTAAACCCTAAACCCTAAACCCTAAACCCTATGGTCCCTGTGTAATTATACTTTAATAACCCACCAAAACCCTATTCAAATTATTCAGGCCCCCACAGTAGGCGAGCCTTTCCATTCGCATCCTCTAAAAAACGCTGCCCAAAGGGACTGGAAAAACACTGAAGTCCGCCCCAGTCCAGATGAAGGTATCGCATTCCGTATGGTCCCCTTTATAACTTGATTGTGATAACCCCAAAGCCCTATTCCAATATTTCAGGCCTCTATATTCAGCTCTTCCTAGCCCCGAACTACACATAAGCCTGCACTAGTCGCGGTTTAGGGTTGAGGGTTTAGGGTTTAGGGTTAGGGTTTAGGGTTTAGGGGTGCATGATCTCCTGACTTCCCGCTGAGAACTTTCAGTGCGGAGCCGAACACTCCTCCTCAAGCACCTCCTGGCAAAGGCCCTAAACCCTAAACCCCAAAACCCTAAACCCTAAACCCTAGCCCTAAACCCTAAACCCTAAACCTCAAAAGCCCCCTGAAACTCCCACCGCCCATGGCCGAGAAGCCTCATTTCCAGCAGTAGCCGCAAGGATTTAGCTGCGGCGAGTATTCTGAGACCCCACGTCGGAGAAGCGAAGCATCAAGCACGAGTGTAGGGTTTAGGGTTTAGGGTTTAGGGCTTAGGGCTTAGGGTTTAGGGTTTAGGGTTTAGGGTTTATTGTTTAGGGTTTAGGGTTTGGAGCTTGGGACTTCCCCCGCCCCCTTGTTGCAAGAGAGCATATTAGGTTACTTTTCCGAAAGAGTCTATGGGTCATTCCCAAAACAGGGGTTCCCCGTTTCTACCCCAAATAGAATCGAATCCCCCTTAAAAGGGACCCTTCCTCCCCCCCCCCCCCCCCCCCAAAAAAAAAAAAAAAAAGAAAGAGCAAAGAAGTTGCACTATTTTCGGAACCCCCCCCCAAACAGAGTAGTCAATCTTTTTCCAAAAAAGTATATGCTCCAGATCACTGTGATGGATTCCAGTGCTTTGCTGTATGCGGCCTCTCTGCCACGCGGGCTCTCGGAATGTGGATTTCAGACGATGCCTACACAGCATGCCCACAAAAAAACCAGCGGAGTGCCATGCCGAGGATTCCAGGATCGCAGGTTTAGGGTTTAGGGTTTAGGGTTTAGGGTTTAGGGTTTAGGGTTTAGGGTTTAGGGTTTAGGGCTTCGTTTCTGTTGAGGAAGCTTTTGGGTTTAGACGTTAGCTATATAAATTCTACTTCGAACATTACTGGAATCGGCCACTTTTGGCCGGGTTCCAGGGTGCCCCATCAGGGGCCCCGGTTTAGGGCCCTAACCGAAACCACCTAACCTCTAACCCCTAACCCCTAACCCCTAACCCCTAAACCCTAAACCCTAAGCCCTAAGCCCTAAACCCTAAACCCTAAACCCTAAACCCAAACCCTAAACCCTAAACCCTAAACACTAAACCCTAAACCCTAAACCCTAAACCCGAAATCCGAAACGGCAACAACTTCGCAACTCGCAGGGCCTCCGCTGGGTTCCGCTCGCCTGGGGCCTGCGACAAGTGCACCGGAGCCTGCCGCGTCCTCGGTCTAAGTCTAAGGGTAGTTGCATGGTTCCCTAAACCCTAAACCCTAAACCCTGAACCCTAAACCCTAAACCCTAAACCCTAAACCCTAAACCCTAAACCCTAAACCCTAAACCCTAAACCCTAAACCCTAAACCCTAAACCCTAAACCCTAAACCCTAAATGTCCTTGGTCACAAAGAGGTCTTTTGGAGTTGCTTCGCTTTGGCGGGGTTCTAGGGCCTCTAGTTTCGAGGCCTAAGGGCTTAAGGCTGTTGCAGGGTTTGAAGGGTTTAGGGTTTAGGGTTTTGTCTAGGGTTTAGGGTTTAGGGTTGAGGGTTTGGGGTGGGTTTTGAAGGGTGTTGAAGGGTGTTGAAAGGTCTTGAGGGGGGTGAGAAGATTTCTTGGGAAGCCGTGAGGTTCCGAAGAAGCTCCTTTTCGCCTGCGGTTTAGGGGTTTAGGGGTTTAGGGGTTTAGGGGTTTAGGGGTTTAGGGGTTTAGGGGTTTAGGGGTTTAGGGGTTTAGGGGTTTAGGGGTTTAGGGGTTTAGGGGGTTAGGGGTTTAGGGGTTTAGGGGTTTAGGGGTTTAGGGGTTCTAGGGTTCTAGGGTTCTAGGGTTCTAGGGTTCTAGGGTTCTAGGGTTCTAGGGTTCTAGGGTTCTAGGGTTTAGGGTCTAGGGTTTAGGGTTTGGGGTTTGGGGTTTGGAGTTTAGGGTTTAGGCTGCAGTGTTTTACCAATCACTGCAGCTGAATGTCGCGGCCTGGCTTCAGGACAGGGGCGAGGAGGATCCCGACTACGAGGACTTCGCCTTCTTCGTGGGATCCTGAGCGGTTTTTTTTTCGAGGGACTGCAGGTTTCCCGACTTGAGGGTTTAGGCTTTAGGGTTTAGGGTTTAGGGTTTCGGGTTTCGGGTTTAGGGTTTAGGGTTTAGGGTTTAGGCTTTAAGGTTTAGGGTCTAGGGTTTCGGGTTTCGGGTTTAGGGTTTAAGGTTTAGGGTCTAGGGTTTCGGGTTTAGGGTTTAGGGGTTGGGCTTCTTCGGGATTCAGGCTTGCTTGACGGCTCCACCGTGAGACAGGCTTCCGGCTATTTAATCGCCCAAATTCTAAACACACTACATGGTTATAGCGTACAGGGTTTAGGGTTTAGGGTGTAGGGTCTTGGGGTATTTCCCAAAAAATAGGGCCCAAAATAGTATAGTTCTCATGATAGGAAGCTGTAAGCCAAGCCTCAGCGCCCCAAACCATTTTGGAGCTCCCTAAGCCCCAACCCCTAAAGAGTTAAACCCTAAACCCTAAACCCTAAACCCTGAACCGTAAACCCTAAACCCTAAACCCTAAACCCTAAACCCTAAACCCTAAACCCTAAACCCTAAACCCTAAACCCTAAACCCTAAACCCTAAACCCTAAACCCTAAACCCTAAACCCTAAACCCTAAACCCTAAACCCTAAACCCTAAACCCTAAACCCTAAACCCCTAACCCCTAACCCCCTAAACCCCAAACCCTACGCCCTGGCGTTTGAGGCTGGGCTCTCTGAAGCCCCAAGCGCCTCGGAAGCCATCGAGCTTGAGGAGGCGGGGCAGGGGTTTCGGGTTTAGGGTTTAGGGTTTAGGGTTTCGGGTTTCGGGTTTCGGGTCTCGGGCCTCGGGTTTCGGGCTTGAGCGTTTAAGGCTTGAGAATGCTTAAGGTTTTTGGTCGTATGTATGTACGTATGTATGTATGTATGTATGTATAAGAGTATGTATCAACATATTTTCGTGTCAACTGATACCCTGGACCAGACTTTGCACCCCCCCCGATGCCAGGTGCCGCCGCCCCCGCCGCCGGGATCACAAAGTCTTCGCAAAGCGGCTTCAGGTTTGGGGTTTAGGGTTTAGGGTTTGGGGTTTAGGGTTTGGGGTTTGGGGTTTAGGGTTTCGGGTTTAGGGTTTAGGGTTTAGGGTTTCGGGTTTGGGGTTTAGGGTTGACTCAAGGTGAATTCAGTGTTCAGGGCTTAGGGCTTCCAGGGCTTTGGGGTGGTTTAAGGTTTCTATGGTTTAGGGGTAGAAACCTTCACTAGGGTTCAGGGTTCAGGACTTCCAGGCCCCAGAGTTTCTGGGGTTCAAGGCTGTAGTCGCTCAACCCGAAACCGTAAGCCTAAGCCCCTGAAGGGCTCAGGGTTTAGGGTTTAGGGTTTAGGGTTTAGGTAAATACTCCTGGCAAAGAGTTATGCTGACCGTGGGGATGGCTTGAGAAGGTAATGCTTACATGTGTTACCGAGGCCCGCCCCCTTCAGCCGTGGGGGTTTAGGGTTTAGGGTTTAGGGTTTAGGGTTTAGGTTTTAGGGAGTTTAGGGTTTAGGATCCCCACATAGGTTGACAGCTGTGCCGCTGCATCTGCCCAGGAGATGGCATGGCGATGGGCGCCTGAGTGCCCCAAACCTGCAAACCCTAAACCCTACGTCGTTCACACATTCATATGTTTCATGCACTCACTTCGTTCGTTCATACACGAATCAATGTGCCTCTCTTCTTATTTTTTGGGCGTGCCGACAATAAACTAAGTCGCACGCCGCATGCACGAAGTAGTAACGATAAATAAGTTTTTGTACGACTTGCATGCACTCACTCACTTTATTGACTTGTTTATGGTTCACTTTGCTGATTACATTAGTACTGTTTCTTTCACGCGGGAGCGAAGTGAACGCACCAATCATCGGTGAACTCTTGATCCTAAACCCTAAACCCTAAACCCCACCAAGTGACTACTTGGGGGAAACTTCCCTCTTCCTTTCTCCCAGGTCTGCGGAGGCCTCCGCCCCTTCGCGACCCCTCGGTTTCCGACGCAATGAGGAGGCCCCTAAACCCCCAAAACCCTAAGCCGGGTTTAGGGTTTAGGGTTTCGGGTTTAGGATTTAGGGTTTCGGGTTTCTGGTTTAGGGTTTCGGGTTTAGGGTTTCGGGTTTAGGGTTTAAGGTTTCGGGTTTAGGGTTTAAGGTTTCGGGTTGAGGGTTTAGGGCTTCGCGTTGAGGGCCAAGAGGTGTAGAAGAAAGATCCCTGACTGAAGTCTTCGAGTGGTTGAGAGGGTGCCCTTAAAGGGCGGGAGGGGGTGTTGTCCGAAGGAGACTAGATGTAAAGAAAAGGTTATGTGCCCACCCCACATGTGACCTACCGCCAGGAAGGCGACGATAGGAACACACGGGACGCGCTGGCCTTAAGGGCTACCGGCACAGTTCTGCTCAACCCTAGACCCTAGACCCTAGACCCTAAACCCTAGACCCTAAACCCTAAACCCTAAACCCTAAACCCTAAACCCTACACTCGACAGGCCGAGAGGAAGCGGCAGTTGGAGCAACTCGAGAAGGAGAAGCAACGAAAGGAGCCTTACTGCTGTGGAGAGCTCGGGGTGAAGGGCTTCAAGTCTGGGTTTAGGGTTTAGGGTTTAGGGCTTAGGGTTTAGGGTTTAGGGTTTAGGGTTTAGGGTTTAGGGTTTAGGTTTAGGGTTTAGGGTTTAGGGCTCAGAGTGTTTAGGGTCTCAGGGTTTCCTTCTTTCAAGGTTCAAATCGAAGGGGCTTGGAGATCTAACCCGAGCTTATAAACTCCAAAGACCCCAAGGGTCCCCCAAGATCTAGGCCCGCCCCTGAACTCCCTAAACCCGAAACCCGAAACCCTAAACCCTAAACCCTACACCCTAAACCCTAAACCCTAAACCCTAAACCCTAAACCATAAACCCGCAGCACAGCTGCCCTAAGCCCCTAAACGCGTAACTCAGGCCCGCAAGCGCTTCCCCAAACACTCGACCCGGAATCCACACCTCTGACGCTAGACCTGAACCCTATTGCAGACCCCTAAACCCTAAACCCGAAACCCTAAACCCTAAACCCTAAACCCTGAACCCTAAACCCTAAACCCTAAACCCTAAACCCTAAACCCTGAACCCTAAACCCTAAACCCTAACAAACCACAATCCCAAACCCCAAGCCCCATTTACAGCCCCTAAACAGCCTTCGCAGGAAGAGGAGGAGAGACTCCGGCGGAAGAGGGAGGAGGCTCCTCTTCGCTCTGTCGAAGGTCTTAGCATTTAGGCTGACGGGTGGAGCCCTAAGCACCCTAAAGCCTAGACGGGTTTAGGGTTTAGGGTTTAGGGTTTAGGGTTTATTGAAATTATTAAGCGTTCAGGTCCGGGGAGAGTTTCGAGGAGTTTCGAGGAGTTCCAAGGAGTACAATCCTATCTATCCAGGTAATCCCTAAACCCTAAGCCCTGCGCCCTAAGCCCTAAACCCTAAACCCTAAACCCTAAACCCTGAACCCTGAACCCTGAACCCTAAACCCTATGCCTTCACAGGAGGAGCTGGAGAGGGAAAGAGAAAGAGAGCGTCAGCGGAAGGATGAAGCTGTTCGCAAAGCCGAGGCCGAGAAGGGTTTAGGGTTGCATGGGCCGGGCCTTCGGTGTATGCATTGGGGCAGCTAGGGTTTAGGGTTTAGGGTTTAGGGTTTAGGGTTTAGGGTTTAGGGTTTAGGGTTTAGGGTTTAGGGTTTGGGGTTTGGGGTTTATGGTTTAGGGCTAGCAACCCCCTCCCACCCCACCCCACCCTGCGACGAGTTGTTGGCTCCCCAGAAGCCGGCAGGAGGAGCGCGAGCGTCGTGCCCGACTTCGACAGCAGCAGGAGGCTTTCCCCATCAGCTCCAATTCTATGCTGAGGGTGTTTAGGGTTTAAGGTTTATAGGGTACCCGGAACCAGTGTTTAGTTTTTTGAAGGTGTGTCTCGGGCTTCGTTTCTTTAGATGGTGGGGCCGGGTCTTCTGGTCCTGCGGTCCTCTGGTCCCGTGGTCCCCTGGTGTTCTGATTCTCTGGTCCTCTGGTTCGGGGTCTGCGGTTCCATGGCCCGTGGTCTCCTCTTCCTCTGGTCCCCTAGTTCTCCGGTGCTCCGGCCCCCCGACTCCCCCGCTTTTGTAAGCCGTGGAAGCTTGCTTCAAAGCATCTGAGTCTTTCTTGAAACCCAGGTTGCAAATGGGGGGGGGGGGTTGCAGCCGTGCTTCAAAGCAAATGAGCTTTCGAAACCAGCACTAAAACTGCAGTTTATGTTAGGAAACAGCCACGCCGAGCGCGGGGCTTAGGCCAGAAGGCGATTGACAACTTTGCATAGGTTTCTCGTATGGAAACCAGCGATTCCGAGCACGAAACTTCGGCCAGAACGCGACTTGCCACTCCGGGCATGGAGCTACACAGAAGAACAGTCCCGAGCCACACCTCGTAACAAATGCAAGCCCTCCGCCGGTACTCCGAAACAACCCTAAACTTGAAACCCCTAAACCCCTAAACCCCTAAACCCCTAAACCCCTAAACCCCTAAACCCCTAAACCCCTAAACCCCTAAACCCCTAAACCCCTCAACCCCTCAACCCCTAAACCCCTAAACCCCTAAACACCTAAACCCCTAAACCCCTAAACCCCTAAACCCCTAAACCCTAAACCCTAGACCCTAAACCCTAAACCCCTAAATTCTGAACTCCAAACTCAAAGCCCCAGCCCGCGTGGGCTGTGAAATTCTATCAGCAGTCCCCAAGCCTTCGCTCCCAACAGGGTTTAGGGCAGAGGAGTTAGGGGCTTAGGGTTTAGGGTTTAGGTGTTCTGAAAAGCCATTCTGTGCAAAAGACTTGAGGGGGGGGGCTGGGCTTGTGAAGTTGGGTTGAGGGTTTAGGGTGTCTGGCTCAGGGGTTTACGGGTGTAGGGGGTTAGGGTTTACTGTCGCGTTACCCTAAACCCTAAACCCTAAACTCTAAACCCTAAACCCTAAACCCTAAACCCTAAACCCTAAACCCTAAACCCTTTAGGCCCACCGGCAGCTGCCCAGGACGAGAAGAAGCGATCCGAGCAGGAGCGCCTCGAGATGGTGCGAAAGCGAGCAGGGGACTCGAAAGCTTAAGCCCCCAAACCCCAAACCCCAAACCCCAAACCCCAAAACCCTAAACCCTAAACCCCAAACCCCAAACCCCAAACCCTAAACCCTAAAACCCTAAAACCCTAAAACCCTAAACCCTAAACCCTAACCCTAAGCCCCCCAACACTCCCCCCCCCAACGTCGGCCCCACGACCAGATGGGTGGTTTGGGGGCTTAGGGTTTAGGGTTTAGGGTTTAGGGTTTATTAGGGTTTTGGGTTTCATAGACATGGGGTTGAAGGGCTTTGTTTCCAGGACGTGGCTCACCCGAAGCATCCCTGAGCCCAATCCCTGATCCCTCAGGCCCTCAGACCCTAAGGCCCATTGAATTCTAACCTCAAGCCCCGAGCCCTAGCGGTTTAGGCGTGTAGGCTTTAGGGTTTAGGGTTTAGGGTTTAGCGGTTTAGGGTTTAGGTTTTAGGGTTTAGGGCAGGTTAGGCTGCCCCAAGGCCAAAGAGATCGAGGAGCGCCAGCGTCAAGCGGAGGAGGAGCACCGAGCCCGGTGCCACTCGCGCAGCCTCCGTTTTAGGGTTTTAGGGTTCAGGCTGTAGGGTTTGGGGTTTAGGTTTGGGGTTTAGGGTTTAGGGTTTAGGGTTTTGGGCTCGGGTTGAGGGTTGAGGGTTGTAAGCTCTCACACCTTGGAATGTTCTCCCAATGTAGAGGCGCTGTGCTCAGCTAAGGCCTGTTTCCCACAGGGTCCCCCCCACACGCCCCTCCTTGCTAAACTGACAACTCCACACCCCAAGCCCCAAGAAAACCTAACCCTAAACCCTAAACCCTAAACCCTAAACCCTAAACCCTAAACCGTAAACCCTAAACCCTAAACCCTAAACCCTAAACCCTAAACCCTAAACCCTGAACCCTGAACCCTGAACCCTGAACCCTGAACCCTGAACCCTGAACCCTAAACCCTAAACCCTAAACCCTAAGCCCTAAGCCCTAAACCCTAACCCTCAACCCGAAACCGCCCTCAACCCTCCCAAGCCCCCCAAACGCTCCCAGCGCCCAAGTTGAACCGAGGTTCGTGGCAAGTTCCGCGGAGAGCCGGAAGAAGGCTCGTCCCGTGGAGTTCAGGGTTTACCTGGGTTTAGGGTTTAGGGTTTAGGGTTTAGGGTTTAGGGTTTAGGGTTTAGGGTTTAGGGACTCTCTCTTACCTACAGCTTTTATGGGTTGAACCTACTAATTAAGGGGTAGCTACTACTAAACTGTAGATAAACAGAGTCCCAGGCAAGGTTAAGGGGTTTGGGTTAGGGGTGTTAGCACAGGGTTGAGGATTTCAATACGCCACGCCGGGGGACGTTTTAGGGTTAAGTCTTGCGATTTAGGGCCGATGATGAGGGGTGTGAAAATTTCGCTGTCATGGCGATTTTTGTTGCTATCTTTCGGGTGTCTGTCGCCGTCGCTTCATTCAGGGCTTCTGTTGCTGCAATCTCCGGTTCTGTTGCTAATTTGGGTGGTCGCTGTCTTTTCCTGTTTCTGTGAAATCTCATCTCCCCAAACTCCAGACCTCACCGGGGTTGGGGGCCCTAAACCCTCAACTCCACACCTTAAGCCCTAAACCCAAACCCAAACCCTCAACCCTCAACCCTCAACCCTCAACCCTAAACTCCCCAACCCAAACCTCGTCAAAGCATCCTATAGCCCACTGGCGGCGTGGGGGCGAGCAAGGAGGGGGTGGACGGGAAGCGTGACATTCGGTCGACGGGCAGGGGAGCGGGGTACACGTGGACAAGACAAGGCCTTCGGCAAACGATATGTTTACAAGGCACGCGCGTGCAGCAGAGTCTCTAAGTGTCCATCTTACGGAGGGGTGGGGGTGGGGGGGGGTTAGGGTTCTAGGTTCTGGGACCCTAGGGTTTGGGGTTGCAAGAGTTGCAAGCGGCGGGGAGAGGGCTTTTAGGCGGTTTAGGGGTTTTGGGTTGGGGTTCTAGAGTTGAGGGTTGAGGGTTCTGGGGTTTAACAGTTTAGGGTCTGGAGTTTGGTTTATGGGGTTTAGGGTTTTGGTCCTTCCGGGGGGGGGGGGTCAAGGGGATCCCAGCAAAATGTTCCGACCCCCCTCCCTTTACTGTGTCGTCTCCGTGGCGTCCCGTCAACATTCATTCCGTCCGACCCTGCTCCGTTGACCGTCTCCTCTTCGCGGCCTCTTTCGTCAGAACGTTGAAGCGCTAAACGAACACCCAACCCCAGAGAGGTTTTCGGGAACAATCCAAGAAAACAACGAGCACGTGCAGAATAGACGTTAAGCGTCCAAGGCACCTGCAAGATAGACACTTATGCTGCACGTGCGTGCTTTGTAAACATATCGTTTACAAAGGCCACACCCTCCCCCCGCAGGGTTTAGGGTTTAGGGTTTAGGGTTTAGGGTTTAGGGTTTGGGGAGTCTGGAGGCTCCCAAGATCGACGTCCGCGCACCCTCGGTGCTACCCGAGGCCGCGGGGCCCGCGGCCGCAGCAGGCGGGAGGGGGTTTAGGGTTTAGGGTTTAGGGTTTAGGGTTTAGGGTTTAGGGTTTAGGGTTTAGGGTTTAGGGTTTAGGGTTTAGGGTTTAGGTTTAGGATGTAGGGTTTAGGGGTCGAGGGGTCGAGGGGTTGAGGGGTCGAGGGGTTGAGGGGTTGAGGGGTTGAGGGGTTGAGGGGTTGAGGGGTTGAGGGGTTGAGGGGTTGAGGGGTTGAGGGGTTGAGGGCTTAATTCAGGGATTTACACCTTCAGCCCTCTCCAACACCCCAACACCCCAGGCTGCTCCTTCAAGCCCCGCCCTCTCTTCCCCCGAAACCCTTAAGCCCTTCAACCCGCAAGACCCTTAAACCCTTAAAAAGCCTTAAGCCACACTAATTAAACCCCCCAAAACCCGAAGCCCTAAACCCTAAACCCTAAACCCTAAACCCTAAACCCTAAACACTAAACCCTAAACCCTAAACCCTAAACCCTAAACCCTAACCCTAAACCCTAAACCCTAAACCCTAAACCCCCTACACCCGAAAAAGCACTAAGCCCCCTAAAGCCCTGAAAACCTTCAAGCCCTTGAGCTCTCTAAGCACACTTAACCCCCGAAACCCCTTAACCCTAAAAAACACAAAACCTCCTAAACCCTGAACCCTGAACCCTAAACCCTGAACCCCAAACCCCAAACCCTAAACCCTAAACCCTAAACCCTAAACCCTAAACCCTAAACCCTAAACCCTAAACCCTAAACCCTAAACCCTAAACCCTAAACCGTAAACCCCCTCCCCCCCGAAGGCTCCCTGTCAGCCCTCCTCCGCTTCTCGGGCGCGGCGGCACCGACTCCGGCGCCGGCGCCGGCTGCGACTCCGGCACCGGCGGAGGCGCCGAGGCGCAGCCGAAGCCCCCGGAGGCCCGGGGAGGGTTGGGTTTAGGGTTTAGGGTTTAGGGTTTAGGGTTTAGGGTTTAGGGTTTAGGGTTTAGGGTTTAGGGTTTAGGGTTTAGGGTTTAGGGTTTAGGGGGTTTAGGGTTAGGGGGTTTAGGGTTAGGGTTTAGGGTTTAGGGTTTAGGGTTTAGGGTTTAGGGTTTAGGGTGGGGTTTGGGGTTTAGGGTTTAGGGGTTGAGGGTTTTTAGGGTTTAGGGTTTGGGGTTTAGGGTTTAGGGTTTAGGGTTTAGGGTCTAGGGTCTAGGGTTTAGGGTTTAGGGTTTAGGGTTTAGGGTTTGGGGTTTAGGGTTTAGGGGTTGAGGGGTTTAGGGTTTAGGGTTTAGGGTTTGGGGTTTAGGGTTTAGGGTTTAGGGTTTAGGGGTTGAGGGGTTTAGGGTTTAGGGTTTAGGGTTTGGGGTTTAGGGTTTAGGGTTAGGGTTCAGGGTTAGGGGGTTGAGGGGTTTAGGGTTTAGGGTTTAGGGTTTGGGGTTTGGGGTTTGGGGTTTGGGGTTTGGGGTTTGGGGTTTTCCAGAATCCCTGTGTGGGGTCCCTTCTGCCAGGACTCCGGCGAAGGTGGAGGCTCCGATGGAAGCTCCGCAGGCAAAGGAAGCGGCTGGGCCTGAGCAAAGAAACATCCTGAAGTTTAGGCTTTAGGGTTTAGGAATTAGGGTTTAGGGTTTAGGGTTTAGGGGGGTTTAGGGTGTTTAGGGTTTAGTTTTTCGAGTTTCTGGCTTCCTTTTTCGGGCCACCCAAGACGGGACCATAGAGAATTCCCCACGTGCACCCTAGGCCTGGCCCTTGCTGTAGCATCTGACCCTAAAGCCGAGAACCTGAAGCCCTTGTGGCTTGGACTTGATTGGGTTTAGGGTTTAGGGTTTAGGGTTTAGGGTTTAGGGGTTTAGGGGTTTAGGGGTTTAGGGGTTTAGGGGTTTAGGGGTTTAGGGGTTTAGGGGTTTAGGGGTTTGGGGGTTTAGGGGTTTAAGGGTTTAGGGGTTTAGGGGTTTAGGGGTTTAGGGGTTTAGGGTTCAGGGTTTAGGGTCTGGGGGCTGTGAGGTTGGGTTGGGTTGCCTCACTTTTGTTGCACCTCAACACCCTTCAGCCCTGAGCATTGCTCTCTCGCTTTGGGTAGAGGAACTGGGGGTTCGTATCCCTAAACCCTAACCCTAAGCCCTAAACCCTAAACCCTAAACCCCATACCCGGTAGTGATGTTGGTGGCAGTGCATTGCAACGCCTCGGTTGTTTGGTCGCCTGCTGAGGCCAAGGACGCCAAGCGAGTGAAGGCAGCTCGGCTGGCAAAGGGCGGGGTAAACCCTAAACCCCAAGACCTGGACCCTAAACCCTAAACCCTAAACCCTAAACCCTAAACCCTAAACCCTAAACCCTAAACCCTAAACCCTAAACCCTAAACCCTAAACCCTAAACCTCAAGCCCTAAACCCTGAACCCGAAACCCTAAACCCTCTAAACCCTAAGCCCTCCAAGGGCTTCGAAGGTGGGGTGTTAGGAGTTGAAGGGGCGAAAGGCTTGGGCTGGAGAGGGGTCTAGGGTCTAGGGTTTAGGGTGGTTTGGGGTTTAGGGTTTAGGGTTTAGGGTTTGGGGTTTGGGGTTTAGGGTTTGGGGTTTAGGGTTTGGGGTTTAGGGTTTGGGGTTTAGGGTTTAGGGTTTGGGGTTTAGGGTTTAGGGTTTTTGTTGGTCTTAGATTCGGTCATTCGGGTGCCCGGGAGCCAAGCCAGGTCGCAGCACAGCAGGAGGAGGCGGAGCCTGAGGCGAAGGCACAGTTGTCAGGGTTACAGGGTGTCGTTCTTTATTTATTTATTAATTATTGTTATTATTATTATTATTTTTTTTTTTTTGGGGGGGGGGGGTGGGCTTTTAGGGTTTCAAGGGTTCTTAGGTTTTTAGGGTTCTTAGGTTTCTTAGGTTCTTTAGGTTTTGTGGGTAGGGGGTCAGGCTAAGGGCTTGACGTTTAAAAAGCATCCGGGGGGCCCGGGTGTGTGTGTGTGTGTGTGTGTGTGTGTGTGTGTGTGTGTGGGGGTGTGTGTGTGATGATCTGAGGCTACCGGGTGCAGGTAAATTTTCGGGGGTTCTTAGTTGAAGAATCACGAGCTTCCTTCCTGTAAAGTGATGTATGTATAGTCATGTTATGCAGATCAGGATGGCTTACCTTCTGACTTTTGGCTCAAGGCTCAAGCAAAAAGGCCGCATGAGGTGCGGCTTGCGCGCAGGGTTGAGGGCTTTGAGGGTCCCTAAACCCTTCTTCTGGTTGTGTCTGGTCCTTCCCCTTTCAGGCTTAGGCCAGGTTCTGACCTGTTCAACTGGTTATCAGCTCCGTATCGCTCTGTTTGTTCTGAAGATTCCAGGGTCTAGGATTGAGGACCCATGGACTATAACCCTCCTCGTGAGGAAGAGCGTATTCCAAGGTCTCTCGGCGTGAGACGCACTCGAGGGGGCGCTGCAGCCCAGAGGAAGCGGAAAGCATATCAACTATATATCTTTCTGCGCGATCAGGACTTGGGCATCTTCGCAGATCCATCCGAAGTTCCCTTCCGTCGCCCTGACGGCTCTACCAGATCCGTAGTGCGCCGTCCGAAGACGGCTCCTTTTCAGGCTGTGGAAGAGCAGTCAGAAGTGATCGTTATTGACGATCAGGCCCCGGAGACTCCGCCGCCTTCTACGCCATTTCGTCCGTTTCATCGACTTCATCCTTCAACTGCTGTTCTGAAGGCGAAGACCACGGCTCCATCACCTCCACCCGCTTCTTCGTCATCAAGCTCTTCAACTCAGAGGCCTTTGCCGACTCCAAAGCCTTTGTTAACTCCATCAGCTTCATTGTCATCAGGCATTCCGGCACCAAAGACTCCACCGAAGGCTCCGCCTCGGACGCCTAAGGAACCTTCGCATCCTCCACCAGCTCAGGTGTCGCCTTGTGTGCCGGAACCTTTGCATCCTCCACCAGTTAAGGTACCGCCTCGTGTGCCGGAACCTTCGCATCCTCCGCTACCTCAGGTGACAGGGATTCCTCGTGTGATTGACTTCCATCCCCTGAAGACAGAGGTGCTGGACTTTGAGGGTGTTAAGGTGAAGCTTACGGAACCAGCTTTCGAGAGATTCTCTTTTGGTTTGAGCTTGGATTTTCACGGAGTGTTGGATCGATATCACAAAAAGTCAACGAGCTGGGCGGATCCTAGGCCCGAGTTTCCTTCAGAGTGTGTGGCAGCCTTGCGCGATCTTCATTCGTTGATTCCGCGCTACGGGGGTTTATTCTTCGTCTGCAGTTGCTGTCATCACGAGGACACCAAGAGGCACGAGGTTGAGACGACAGTGAATTCCTGTGATACTCTTTTCACGCAGATCGGGGAATCGCCTATTTGCCTCATTTTCATTACGAGGAAGGCCACTGGTCCGTTGGGGAAGCGTGTAGTGCTGGAGAAACTGGCAAAGGAGGTTGAGCTCCCCATCATTCACGTCGACGACTCTGCGGATGTCTGTGACGAGCTGGCGGGCTCTGAGCACGTGATTCCTCTGCATATTGCCATTCCGAAGAGATCCAAGGGGAGTCGTGGACAGCGCGCTATTTTTCCGCGTGCTCCCGTGCCTTCCTTTGACAGCTTTCCGGAGTGTGCTGACGCTATCAGAGGTCAGGTGCGGAAGTGGTTTCCGGACGTCTAAAGGTCTGGGGCTGTTCGTCCAGTTGTCCGGCGCTGAGCGCCTCCTCTGGCGACATTGAGGGGATTGCAGATCCAACAAAGCACTGCCACTTGCGTGAAAGGGTGCGTTGAGCTGCTGCTAAGCGCTTCCACCTCCCAAGGCAATGTCTTCCCCCTCAGACCCGAGCAACCAAGCTAGCTCGGTGCTTGATTTGTCAAGTGCCTCAGCCATGGCATTGCCGGGTGGTATCGGTTCAGATAGTGGTTGGGTTACGAGTAGTTCTGCCGTTGAGCTCCGTGAAAGGTCCCCTCCTCTGACTAGACGAGCCTTGTCAGCCCCCCCTCGCAGATCTCGTGAGCACTCAGACCCTTACCCCAATCTAACTGCTCAAGCCTCATACACGCAGAACATCCTGAACGTAGGAGCGTCCCCACAAGAAGTTCTGGATGCCCAACGTTTGGCTGCAGCCCAAGCAGCGCAGCAAGTAGCTGATCATGCTGAACAGGTTACATGCTGTAAGGCTAGAACAGGTTGAGAATGAGGCTAGAGGTTTGGTTGAAGCCACCGTTGAGCAAATGCGTGAGCAGTTGCAACAATATGAACATCGTTATGATGAGATCCTTCAACAGGGTCGAATCTTGGAAGAACAGCTGTCCGTAGCTAAGGCTGAGCTAAGCAAAGTCGAAGCTGAACTTCAGGTTGCTCGTGCAGGGTGCCAAGAGCTTGAAGCCGCCCTAACCAGCTGCCGGGGTGATAACAACTTGCTGAACTTCCAAAACACCCAGCTACGTGTTGAGTTGCAAGTCAAAGACCGTGAGATTCAGAGACTTCGTCAGGCTGCTTTAAGCGCCACGAGTCCTGGGTCTTCACCTCCAAAGCCTGCACCTCGCCAGCGAGATGTGCCATCTGCAATTGCACCAAGTGCCTGTTCTGGTGGTTCTAGTTGGGTACATATCGGTTCGGATGGGGACAATAATGGTGCACCTTCATTGCCGCAAGTTGTCAATGAGTCACCCCCTTGCCCTCCTGCAACCGTTACCGACCCTCGTGTTGACCAGTTGATTGATGTCGTCCAGCAACTGCTTGCCCAAAGAAATGGCACGGATCAAGGATGCAATGATGCATCTCCTGTTCATGAGATCGGAGAGCCAGAGAGGCAAGAGAAGCACATTGTTGACAACCGAGCTTTGTTGCATCTCAAGCTTGAACCGGTTCCTTCTGACGCTGCTGGTTTCCGAGCCTGGAAAAACGCGTTGTTGGTCCAAATTGCCAAGCTTGATATGTCGGGAGAAGGTTTGGTCGTTGAATGGCTGTCTCAGTCTTTCACAGCTGAAAAAGAAGACCTTACTGAATCTGGTTTTCTCCCTCGCCTTGACGCTTGGATTGCTGGAGAGATGACTTCCTTGCGTCCTTGCGTGTCTTGAAGCAAGTGACTGAGTTGGAGCAAGAGGTAATTGCCTATGTTGAGTTGTGCGGCCAAGCGCGGTCCCAGCCGAAAGGTCGATACATGCTTGCCCTTCTTGCTCGTCATTTCAGCATCGACCGTGTTCGAGGTACTGTGCTGACTGCTTCGACGTTGTTCCAGGTTGAAATCGGGGGAAACTCCATGCGAGATCTCCGAGACTTTGTGCAACCCGTAAGGACTGTTCTGTGTGCCATACCGGTCGGACAGAGGCCAGATGATCGCCTCACTGGCGAATGGCTTTTCCACCGGGTGAAGCATATTCGAAAGTTGGAACGCGTCATCGAGGATATCAGAGACTCTGCGCCAGAATCCCGTCGTCGTGAGTGGGATTACTTATGGAACAAAATACAAGATATCCTTGTTCAAGAGCGAGAAGATGCAAACTCTCACTCAGTGATGAAGTCTTTGCAAATTGCCGCTCCGCAGGCAAAGACAAAGGGAGTTCCTGCAGAGACTAAGGAGGCATCCCGGAGTTCCCCAAAGGCCAAGACTCCTGCCCCAGTGTCCACTGGACCTCCACCGAAGGCTCCAGTACCTGCGAATCCCGCACCAAGTCCCAAGCCTAAGACGAAAGCTAAAGCGAAAGCAAAAGGCATGTCAGATGCAGAAAAAGCCAAGACACCTTGCATTTTCTTCAGAATGTCGTCTGGTTGCATGCATGGAGAGAATTGCAAGTACAGCCACGCCCCTGATAAGACCCCTAAGGTTGACCCTAAGTCTAAGCCTAAGGCCGCCGCTTCCAAGCCCAAGTCCCCAGGAGCTGTTGCAAAAGCAGTCGTGGCAATGATGGCTGCCTCAAGCATGTGCAACATTCCTGGGAGCAACGCTTTCAGCGTTGAATGGGCTGCCGACACAGCTGCTGGCCGGCATCTTGGATCGGCGCGAGCGCTGGCAGACCAGGGAATTCCGTCGGAGTCATACAGGTCGTTTCTTGCGCACTCAGCGAGCCCTGTTACGTTCCACACAGGAGGTGGACCTCAGCCTGGCTCTCAGAGTTTGGGATTTGCATCCGACAATATGCCTATCGCCAACCACTACATGTTGGACAACTGTCCAGTTGTTCGGAGCACCGGTTTGGATGTTGAATCCGGGAAGGCCTTCATATGGTTACCTGGTTCCCTTCCTTTCTTTGTGCATGACTTGTCTAAGCTTCGGATTGATTGCGCTGAGGAGGCCAGGTTTTATGCAACGCGCATAGATGAGCATGTGCCTATTTCCACCAGCAAAGTTCAGTTTGTCCACGGCGTGGCTGCATCAGCTGATTCTCTTGAAGGGTCTGGTGAGGAAAGCCGAGAGCCTTCGACCCCCTTTGCCCATGATCCAGCTGAAGAGTATGCCAAAGACCTCCTAACAAAGCGTGGTGATATTCAGCCCAATCAAGTTCGTAAGATCTTTGGACTTGTGAAGCGTGGTTCAGCACCCCGAGGGATTGAGCCGAGCAATGACTCGTCCTTTGCAGTTGGCTGCTTCCGTCGAGGTGGTGTGGTCGGTCTTTTGAAGTCTACGAAGGAGTACCCTTTCGTGACTCGTGCATTGAACCAATTTGCGCAGCGCAAAGCCCCTGGGCATGTTTACACCACCATCAATTTGCTGCACAATGTGTCCGCAGATCCTCACAAGGATTCCCATAATGCTGGGATTGACAATGTTGTCATTTCGTTAGGAGGCTTTACCGGTGGTGGTGTTTGGATTGAAGATGCTGCAGGAAGAGACAAATGTCCTTTTCCAAGCGTTTCGCAAATTGGCAAGATTTTGAGTTTCAAGAAAGGGGTTATCCAGTTCTCTGCCAAAAATCGACTACATGCCACGCAACCTTGGACTGGTGATCGGCTGGTGATGATCTTGTACGCAGCAAAAGATCCAGCTTCTCTTGAGCTTGATGTCTTAGATGCTCTCATAGGAGTTGGATTTCCTTTGGACAGTCACCCGCTGGTTGATGTCATTCCAGCAGAGATTGAGTCGTTCGAAGTGCCTTCCTCTTCGTCAGGGGGGCTGCCCAAGGAACATCTTGTCGAGGCAAACCCTGATGGTCCAGCTGCATCTGCGCTTCCTGAAGGGGACAAGCCTTTAGATGTGAGTTCGCCGGGAGTTCCCATTGTCGACGATGCCCATGTCAGCGATCGAGTTCGCAAATTGAGAGATGAAGCTGTGAGCGTGAAGCATCGCTTATTCCATTTCCCAAAGAACCCGTTCTGCGATGTGTGCAATCGATCCAAACTCTTATCCCGAAGGGTGCGCCGCAAGCCTCGTGATGAGGATTCTGAGCCCGCGTTGCTTGAAGCTTCGGAGTTTGGAGAGGTTATTGCAGCTGATCACATCCATGTGTTCAAGTCACCTAGTGACTCCAATGCTCCCGGAAGAGAGTATGTGGTGTTGTGCCTTCGAGATCGCTTCACAGGATTGTTTGCTGCTTACCCTGCCACAGATCGTTCAACTGATTCCATCTTGACATGCCTCAAGCGTTTTGTTGGGAGGAAAGTGTGCAGCAAACCGGTATCGCTGGTTTCTGATGCAGCAGATGAATTCAAGCTTGCTGCAGAAACCTTGGGCTGGTTACACATGCCTTCACTGCCGAACCGGTTTCCTCGCAATTCTCAACTTGAGCGTGAAATTCGGTCTTTCCAAGAAGGAGTCAGGTCATCTTTTCTTGAAGCAGGGTTTGCTGTCAGACCTGAGTTGTGGACAGTGGCTTGCCGCTACGGGTCAATGGCGATGAACCTTTCGCATCCTGCTCCTCTCGAATCTGATCTCTCACGATGGGACTTTGCAGTTGCGCGCTTCGATGCCGAAGACGTCCCGCCTCGGGAATTAATCTTAGGCCAACTTGTTTTCTATCGGGCACGAGCAGATAGCAAGTTTGGTCCTAATGCCAAGCCAGGGTTGTTTGCCGGATGGAGATTGGAGCCTGGGTTCTTGTATAGGTCGGTTGTATACGTGCTGGATTTAGCCAAAGTTCGATTCAAACTTGGTTCTTGGGAAGAGGAAATATCTGTTCCTGAAGCAGAACTGTATGTGCGCTCTGGCGATCCAGTGTTTCCCCTCAAAAACGCAGCCGAACACACGCTGCAACTTTGTGGAGGAGAAGACTTCGCAATACCAGATCCTCTTCCTCTGCCTTTCTCAGGCGACCAAGCCAACATCAAGAAAAAGGCCCGAAGGATCTACATCACCTATTCAAGATTTCTGAAGCTTGGCCCTACTCCAGGCTGTACTGCCTGTGAAAGAGACCGTTCCGACCACAATCCTGAATGTGTTGCTCGTTTTGAAAAGGCGTTCGGGGACGAGGCCAAAACTTCGTCTCAACCTTTTGAGGATCACGAGAGGCTCTTGTCTTTCGAGCATCTTGGTTTGCCTGATCTTCCGCCTGAGATCGACCCAGCCGATGAAGAAGCAGTTGAAGTGGAACTTGCTGCTTTGGGTAGGTCTACAGGAAGAGATTCTGAGTCAGAGCTAGACTTCCTCAGGACGCCGGAATACGAACCTTCCATTCCCGAAGATGATGAAGCACTCCCCGGTGTTGGAGCTTTGCCTGCCTGTCGGCATCAGTAGCCTGGTGCATTGGTACTTTATGAGTTTTGCTGCGCTCCGGATTCCATGATTGGGCACCTTGGTCCAGAACTGGGTGTTCAAGTGGTTCGGTTGTGCCGTGAAAGCATCAATCTCGAGGATCCCTTGGCCATCGATCAGCTCATCCACCAAGTCAGTGCAACTCCTGGTTGCTGCATCCATGGATCCCTTGAATGTGGACCTTGGTCAGCGTGGTCCCGCATGAACCTGGCCACTAAGCCGGGATACCTTGAAAAGCTTACCGCCGAAAGGGAGAAATCCCGGAAGCTGTTGTTGCAATTCATCCGGGTTGCTGCATTAGTCATACTTCAGGGGGGTGAAGTAAGTTTCGAGTGGCCAAGAGACGCTGCTGGTTGGTCTTTGCCTGAGATCATTGCTTTTGTTGACCAGTTCAATCTTCTCACCGTTGGGTTCCACGGATGCGCTTTCGGACTTGTGTCTTCCAGAGGTGGCCCAATGCTGAAGCCTTGGAAGATATTGACTAGTAGTAAGCGTTTGGCACATGACTTTGCGGCTTATCAGTGTTCACATCCTAAGCACTTCAAGCACGATACCGTTGAAGGTTCTGACTCAAGACGCTCAGCCGTTTACCCTGAGGCCATGGCCAGAGCAATTTTGGCATCTTTGTTTCCTTATGCGAAAGCATGTGTTGCACCAGCGTTGCCATGTGTGCCCACTTTTCCTCAACTTCACAGGGTTAAGGACGTTCGGCCGCCACTACCGCTCGATCTCCTGATGTTTGAGTCTGGTATGCGCCGCATCCGAATCCCTGGTTACGTCCATCGGCTGTTGGATAGAAGGGAATGGACTTCCCAGCCTGCTGCGCTTGAAAAGGTCCAAGAAGAAAAGGATGGTCTTTTGAAGGCAGGTGCCTGGATAGAAGAAGAGATCATGCCGAAGAGTGAGGTTCTTGCATGGGCTCGCAGGACTTCCAATGTGATCCACTCGGAAACTTGATGGTCATCATGAGTGTGAAAGGCGCCGAACTAGAGCCTGATTCTTGGAAGCTTAAGGCGCGTATCGTCTTTCGTGGAGACGATATACGTGACCAGACTGGAATGTCTGCTGTATTCGAAGAACTCTTCGCGTCTGCCCCTTCTTCGCTTGAGGGACTGAACACGGTCATTGGATTCGGTCTTCTCGAATCTCATGGTGTGACAACTAGCGACGCCATTAAGGGGTATACACAAGCAGCCTTGAAGAGCAAAAACCGAACTTTCGTCCTCTTGCCACCAGAACTCGTCCCAGCTTCCAAGAGAGACGTAATTCAGCCCTGTGCACCGCTCTACAAGGCCTTGTATGGACACCCTGAGTCATCAGCGCATTGGCAAAGGCATTTGCATGGCATTCTCACTGGTCTTGGTGGAATTGAATTCCCCAACCTTCCTTCTGTGTATTATTTTCCCACATTGGATCTGATCTTGTGCGTATATGTTGACGACCTCACATTGAGCGGGAAGTTGTCGAAGCATAAAGGTTTCTGGAGTTCCTTGTCGAAACAAGTTGACCTCGAGCCTTATGCTCCTCTCACCAGAGTGCTTGGTCGCAGTCATCGCCACGTCTTGTATGACAATCAACCAGCCCTTGCGTTGGAAACTGAAGACTTCGCCAAACAGTGTGTTGACTTGTATGAATCCTTGGTTGGTTCCGCTGTTAAGCACCAGAGGACCCCGCATGTTGACCCAGGAGCTCTATCACTAAGTGATAATGATGCTCGGGGCTCTCTTGCTGACAGCGCCGCTCGCATCCTGATGAAGATTCTGTGGCTTGCACGTTTGAATCGCCCAGATCTTATGGTGGCCGTCACTACCCTCACGACCAATGTCTGTCGTTGGTCAGTGAACGATGATAAAAGGGTTGCCAGGTTGGTGGGTTACATTGCTGCGACGGTTCAATACAACCCTGTGATGTTTGTCCACGACCCAGCTTCATCTTTGCACCTTGCCCTGTATGTGGATTCAGATTTCGGCGGCTGTCCTGACACCGCGCGTTCCACAAGTGGGTATATCGTTGCCCTTGAAGGAAGCAACTCATTTGCTCTTCTGTCATGGTCCAGCAAGAGACAGAAAGTGGTCTCAAGGAGCTCTACCGAAGCAGAATTCGTGTCCTTGAGCAGTGCGCTGTTCAATGATGCCTTGCCATTACTTGAAGTTTGGCAAACCATAATCCCTGGCATTAAGCTCTTGTGTCGTGAAGATAATGAAGCTTGCATTGCCATTGTCCGTAAAGGATATTCAGCTAAGCTGAGGCATTTGTCCAAAACTCATCGCATCAACGTTTCATCTACGTGCGAAGCTGTGAACGACAACGATGATGTTGAACTGGGCTATGTCAACACTAATGACCAGAAAGGTGATCCTTTGACGAAGGCTCTTTCGGTCCAGAAGTGGGCTCATGCACTGAAGTTGCTCCACATCTCCACTGAGCATCTGCCAGATGTTCCCATCTAAGCATGCACTTCCCTGTCACCTGAAGTCTTTTGAAAATTCCTTGGGTGATATGTTTGTGATGGTTGTCAAGCTGCTCCTGCGCTACCTCCATCATCGTGCTTTTGCAGACACTTGGATATGAGCCATCATCCCTGTGTCATCTGAATGAGTTCTTGAGGATCTCATCCTGCACTTCTTGCCTGCCCTCAGCCTTGCACTGCGTTGTGTCAGTGTACGGCTGCTCCCAAGCGCCGCTCTGACTCCGCCTGAGCACAGTCCTGCACCGGTTGAGAGTAGTTTTGTATAGATCGCAGGTAGAATTACCTTAAAGGTTTATTGAGTCTACGTTTCAGCCCGATCACCTGAGATACCGGATTCAATTTGTACATGGCTAAGCCTGTACTTCAATCGGCAGTAGGTTTGGCTGCAGAGTTGAGCTCGTAGCTGTTGCTTCCTGAAGTCCAGAATCGAGCTTCAAATGAGCTCTAGGACTTGAGAATCTGCAAACATGAAGGGGGGAGTTGAAGAATCACGAGCTTCCTTCCTGTAAAGTGATGTATGTATAGTCATGTTATGCAGATCAGGATGGCTTACCTTCTGACTTTTGGCTCAAGGCTCAAGCAAAAAGGCCGCATGAGGTGCGGCTTGCGCGCAGGGTTGAGGGCTTTGAGGGTCCCTAAACCCTTCTTTTGGTTGTGTCTGGTCCTTCCCCTTTCAGGCTTAGGTCAGGTTCTGACCTGTTCAACTTTCTTAACATTTATTTTGGGGTCTTTTTAGAGGTTCGAGGGAGGGGTGGGGGGAAGATTGGGCTACTCAAAGTGAAGAGGCTCAAGCACCGTAGGCAGTCCAGAGCCTAGCACCAACTTTGAAGCAATGAATGAAGCCGGAGCGCAACCACATGAAAAAGCCACGCGAGTGCAAATGATTTCCTCATCAGTTTCAGTGGAATATCACCCGGACGATCAAATCTTCTTGGTACATCGTCTCCCTGATGGTTCAGAGAAACGGGAACTCACCACGTCCATGATTGTTGATGCGATGTTCGAGGTTAAGAAACGCGCTGCAGTGTCCAACTTATCTGACATTAGTCAAATTACAGGCACAGCGCCCGCAGGACCCATCAAAGAGGAGGAGGTTGATTATTCCAGTCTGGAATGGGGTGACATGGATCCAAACTATCGGCGGGAACTCGAGAAACGTCCTGAAGTTAAGGCAGCTCTTCAACGATTCAAGCGGCAATCAAAGGCTGCACGGCTCACGCCGTCAGGAGAGTTTATGGAGTTTCATACAGCCGAAATTCCCGCGCCCGACAACCCGCCTACTCTGGCTGAGGATTTCAAGCAGAGGGAAATGACCGGGGACACATTGGACTCTGCAATCAAATTTTATCATGAGCGTCATGTGCAGCCCAGTTTCAACATGTTAGCGGATGCCGTGACGGCTATGTCCAATCGGAAGGCGCCATGCGTGCTACAAGCTTTGAATTTACACCAGATGCAGTTGAGTAACCTTGAGGGCGAAATCTGCCAACGCACGGTTCTCTTGCATAACATCCCTCCGTTCGCGAATTATTCTTCCATACAGGGAAACCTGCAGTTCCTGTGCGGGGTGGCTGGTCTGGATTTTCACCATGCGGTCCAATCTTGCTCAACCCACATTCTCTCTCCGAATGCCGCGATCCTGAGGGTTGTCTTTTTGCAGATGCAGGGAAGCCGCGAGTTTGTCATGGCTTTTCGGAAAGGCGCAAGATACTGGCGAGACTACCAGGACCGGGGCAATGATCGAAAGATACGAGTTGAGAAAGATGTTCCTTTCTCAACTCGTTTGGAGAGGCAGCCGTATTATGCCTTGCTGGACATGCTTTCGGACATTTCTCCACCTCCTTATGGCTCCACCTCCTTCCGTACAGATTTGTCCTCCCTACAGATAAAAACCCCGGAGGAGTGTGATGAGGATATGGTCTTGGCGCAGGTTGTTTACCTTCCTTTCCGAGGGGAGTTTCGATGCATTCTGCTTGTCCAGCCCGATCTTGTGACCTCGCTACAGTCATCCTTTGGACGTCATTTCAATGAGCGCATGATGAGTACACTCATACTCCTGCAGGCAATTACTCACGCCAGCACACACACACACAACCACACTGGCTCGATTCCATCACACATCATCATTCGACTACTCCAATGTCGGCCCAGAGGAGGCCTTCCACATGTTCCCGTATTCTATCGAGCACAATGTTCTGGACCCCGCGCTGGCAGATAAGTTGAGGACAGACCCCGGATTTATTCACAAGGGGTATGGAGGGCTGGGTCAGGTCGTCAATTCCGCGCAGTTTGCTCGCGGCACCAACCCTGCAGACTACGGGCCGGGTGTGGGATCTCATGGTGGAGACAAGCGCAAGGGTTACGCGAAGGGTAAAGGGAAGAGCGGCAAAGGAAGAGGCAGCTCCACTTTTCATGATCCGCAGATGCGAGACAGGGATGTGGACATGGAATTCCAGGGCTCTCGAGATACCCGCAGACGAGCCAGCAATCATCGGGAGGAGTATGATGAGGACTTTGGCTCAGACGAGCGGTATTACCGACATCAAGATCGGAGAAGTTTCCGAGATGTTCGTGATGCTCGCAGAGATGTTCGTGATGATCGCCGCGACGTTCGGGATCGCAGCCCCTCCCAGCACAGGCAGCCCAGACGTTATCAATACCAGCGTGATTGGTGACTATATCTTTCGCTCAGTCTATGTATGCTCCTTTACAGCTTACCCGCACCTATGATGCAGATACGGTTAGATGCACCAGATACGGCTATGAGCATGCGGCTTCAGTCTTATGCGCTCGCACCTATGATGCAGATACGGTTAGGCGCGCCAAATACGGTTATTAGTGAACGGCTTCAGTCTTATGCACATACGGTTACGACAGTGAGGCTACTTGCCCTGGAGGGGCGGAGTGGCCAGCGCATTCGCATGCCCATCCTTTTTTCTGGCGCGGCGTGTAAATGGCACGCCGCGGCCACGCGGATCTCAGCAGCAACACGCTCCGTTTGTTTGAATGATTACTGCTCTCGAAAGAAGCGAAACAGGATAATGCATTCTCTCCGCGGCAATTGGTACACAATCCGTGACTGGCAGAAGCCGCACTACAAATCGCGAATGTGGCAGACTTGTACTAATCTTTACAACGGAATGAAGGTGTTTAAGTTTGTTGAGTATTCTGACTGTTTTGAGGCTTTCGTCTATAGACGAGGTATATACTATGTCTTTTGTTCCGATTCGTATTCTTCTCCAAAGATGTATTACAGCCTACGGAAAGCGGTTGCCTCCAGTCGGGGTGAGCCGGGATGCCGCCGTCGTCATGCTGATCCACTCCTCCATTCAGTTATCTCATCTCTTCGAGTTACGACGAGCGGCAGCGAAAACCGCAATGCTTTCGGGGGACATAGTCATAGGGGTTTCCGCAGTGCGGAAGCAGTAGACAGAAGGCTACAGAAATACAGAAGCTCTCGAGCAGAGGCTAGAAGGTCATACCGTGCACATTCCAAGGGCTGGGGTAATGGTAAGGCTGACCACCCCTTTTTGATGCCCCCCCCGCCACAGCCGCGTGCAGCAGTTTACGAACGAACTCGAAAACAGATCAAGTCTCATCAGCATCAAGCCAACAATGCGTCGCTTTGTCGACTCGTGTTGTCGTCGGCGGTCGCGCCTTGTAAGCTCTTTGCTCGGTCACTCCGCCTGGCGTCGTGGAACGTTGAGGGGCTTCGCGAGATTGCAAAATATGATCAAATCTTTTCCTTCATGCAGAAGCAATCGGTTCACTTGCTTGCAATGCAGGAAACACACGCATCTAACCCCCAGGAGTTCTCTAAGTCAGGGTTTCTGGTCCTCCACAGTGCTGCCCCAACTTCGCCCAACCATGGTGTTGGGTTCATTGTTTCCCCTGAGCTCCGTCCGTACGTTAAGTCCTTCTTACCCATTAGCCCTCGGTTGTGCTCAGTCGAGATCAATACCTCTCCTAAACCACTTCTCGTTTACTGTGCTTATGCTCCTAGTTTAGTTCAGGATGCCGCAGAGGATGTACGCCGAAAGCGGGAATTCTGGGACATGTTCACTGAGCACTTGGTAGATGTCAGCTCGCCAGAAAACCTGTTGGTTATGGGAGACTTCAATTCTAGATTGGACCCTCAGCTCGACTCTACTGGAGTCCACATAGGGCCTACTGTGTGGGGTAAGAGGCTTTCCATTGACACTTCAGAACGAGATAATGCAATTCACTTGCTGGAAGTGTTACAGAGTTTTGATTTGAAACTCCCTCAAACGTTTATGCAAAATCGTCCTGCGCGTAGGGTTACGTACAAAGAAACCACATGCTCGGACCATTTTTTGGAGCGCCCGAATGTCTCAGAGTGGACCACATTGGACTATGTTATCACGGCCTTGGCGCCGGTTTTTGCCGTTGAAGACATCTCAAGTCACTTTCAACAAGCTGTGAATTCTCGGCACTTGCCCATAATTTGCTCCATTGGGGTCGCTCTCCCGGCGCGTCGACCCCCGCCCAGTACCCCACCGATGCCGGACTACACTCAAACCTCCCAGTACTATGACAAGTTGGAGTCTTCTCTTCTAAGTTTATGTAACCATTCTTTCGATCCTGTAGCTTCGGTGGAAGGGCATGTGTTGGCTTACACAGATGGCTCTTGCCCCAATAACAGGGTGATCTCCCAGACGAACCCAGCGGGTTGGGGGTTTGTGGTCTCCCCCATTCTACTCGCTTTTGCGTTGCATCCCAAACCAACTTCGGATTGGATTACTTCCCATGGCAAAGTGAGAACGAACCCGGATTTCCCGGAGTTCGCTGGGGCGGAGGTATCTTCCAACAATACTGCTGAGCTTCAGGTGCTGATTGAGCTTTTCGATTACTTGTTGTACTTTTCGGGCTTTCCGGAGGGACAAAGGATACATGTTTACACGGACTCTCAGTACGTTTTTGATATTTTACGTGCGCGCTCCCTGCCTGCTACGCACTACAGACTTATTTCCAGGCTCCAAAGGTATTGGGTCGCTATGCGCATTACGTTCAACGTTCATGTGGACAAGGTCCCCTCGCATGTGGGCATACCCGGGAATGAGTATGCAGACCGAGTGGCCTACTCGGGAAATTTTCGCTAGGACGTACAGGCCGTTTTTCGCAACCTCATTCCAGAAGTCTCAGGCCCCCAGAGTTCAATCTGGATCTGACGAACTGGGATTCATTATCGGTGCAAGAGCAGAACGTTTTCTTGCGTCAGGCAATTTCCGAAGCTAAGGAGCTTATTCCGGCCCTCCCTTTGACTCCGCGCAAACCATGGATTTCCAAAACAACTTTGGGACTCATCGCCGAATTGCGCGATGCTGGGGGACTCGCGCCGGAGGATGTTAAGGCCTTCAGAAAACGTATCAAGGCTTCTGCCAGGAAGGATAAAAAGACTTTTGTTCATACCCGGCTCTCCGCAGACTATGAGAGCACGCCCACTCAATGGACAACTCTCCGCAACCTCCGGCGTGGATTCACGCCGAAACCTCCAGGTATCCGGGACACGAGTGGCAAACTCCGGCCTACCAAACAGCGAGCGGAAGTTTTTCGAGAATATCTCGCAAATCATGTTTGGAAGTGTGGGGAAGAGGTTTTCCAACCGCGCCCGCCCCTCCATCCGGTCATCCCTGAGATCTATCGGTTGTTCACGGAAGAGGACCTCTACCAGTGCCTCAAGGCGCTTCAAACCGGGAAGGCTCCGGGACCGGATGAAATTCCTGCAGAGCTCATCAATCAAAGAGCTCCTTATATAGTCCGAGTTTTCCTTTTGTCTCATTACAATAAATGCCTCACCTCTGCTTCTATCCCCGACGCGTGGCGCCTGTCAAATGTGGTCATGTTGGTTAAGGATGTGAAAAAAGACACACTGTCGCTTGACAACTACAGGCCTGTTTCACTCAGCGATTGTTTCTACAAAATATACGCCTCTTTATTACAGAAACATCTGGCTTTCTACATTGACCCACGAATTCGGGATTCTCAGTTTGGATTTAGGCGGGGCCGCTCAGCAACGCAACCTATACATATTCTTCGACGATTGATTGAAACTCACGAACGGCAAGTCTCGCCGTTGCATGTTCTATTTCTGGACTGGTCCAAGGCCTTTGATTCTCTTTCTTTTGCTGCGATTGAGCAGTCTTTGGTGAGGCTTGGCGTCCCTGACCCCTTTGTACGGGCTGTAATGTCCATCTACCAGTCGCCGCAGTTTCGAGTTCGTGACTCGGGCTGCGTATCGCAGCAGGGCTCGCAGTCGCGTGGCGTGCGCCAGGGGTGTCCTCTCTCACCTTATCTTTTTGATGTTGTGCTCACGTGCTTGTTCCACGATGTCGAGTGTTCTTACGAGCGCCAGTTTGGGGTACTTACAGGTGTTCTTAATATCCCTTCGCGCCTTTGGGACCTCGAGTATGCCGATGATACAGTTCTGCTCTCACGTTCATCTCTTCAACTCACGCGGCTCCTGCATCTTTTACAGCATCATGCTTTGCAGTTTGGTCTGCAGCTCAATCTCGATAAATGCAAGCACTTGCAGCTTCACTCTGAAAACCGCGTTTCTTATGCCCCCGATCCGGGTGCCAATTGTAACTGCAGTTGTTGCAACGGCGGGCGCCGTGCAGCGACAGAGTACGTTCCGCTAGCGGAGGAGGTGAAATATTTAGGCATATTTCTTGATGCTACCTGCAACAGTAGGAGTACCACCAGTAAAAGGATTTCCAGGGCAGTACACGCTTCCAAGCTGCTAAAGCCTTTCTTCACGCATGCTGGCCTCCCGACAAAATGGAAGCTCACCGTGTACAAGTCTATCATTCTGTCATTTTTGGCATATGGCATGGAATCATGTTGTCCTGCACCCTCTCAGCAAGGCAGAGTTGACTCTCTTCACTTTAAAAATTTGCGTAGGATTTTTCGTGTGAAGTCTTCTTATTATCATCGGGTTTTACAACCGTCGGAGGCTCCTTGTTCCAATGAATACTTGTCGGAACGTGCAAATGCCTTCACAGTACTTCCCACTCCGTCGCAGCAGTTCTCTTTTAACAGGCTAAAGCTTCTTGGCCACATTGTCCGTCACCCTGATACATATGAGGCGACCAGTACTTTTATGCAGTCGAAAGCGTATCGCTTCATCAGCGGAGGGAACAGATCGGGACGGCCCAGCTTGCACTGGGCGGAAGTTGCTATGACCGAAGCGTATATGCGGCTACAACATGCAGATACGGATAAGACCCCGGCAGTGGCTGAGATTCACCACCCCTACTGGAGTATCCCGTCGCAACAGTTGGTGAAACAGATGCATTCCGCGAGCAGTCTCCCCGGTATGGACAACACTAGGCTCTTCAGACGAATCAACCCAGTCGCTCAAGATAGACATCTCTGGCAACAGATTACCAAACCTACAAGACAAGTTCGCTGATGCTGCTTTGGTTGATGGGCAAACACCGCTTGCCTTGCACTTGAAAAAAAACTCAAAGTGAAGGCTCGTTCGCTGGTGAGATTTGTTGCTGATGGTTTACGGCTTACGCATTGAAGGACTTTGTTATTTTCTTACTGCTATGGGATTCGGGTGGGTACTTTTCCATTACAGGATAAACAGGCTACACGGCATGGTGAACCCGAAGCCCCAAACCGTAGATACTGAATCATAAAGCCTTCCGAA